TGTCCACAGTTCAGCATGTTCGCCTCTAGCATCTCAGCTCCAACCAGACCCCAACTAACAGTATACGGATTCAGAAAAACTGTCCATGAGTGTTTAAACAGGATGTGGCAGAGTAAGCAGCAGCCCCAGGAACAAGGTGTAAGTCTATGCAAAGAACTAGTTTAGGGACATCCACAGTCAGCCACTTGTACAGACTCCTCGGACATTTTTCACTACCACCTTTTTCTTGTAGTCAAATCAAATGCTTCTTTAAATCCCCTAAAAACTTTCAAAAAGTTCTGCCCTAAGCCCAAAAAGAATCTGTCCTATTCCAGTCCAGTTTACTTATAGTCCACCTCCATAATCAAAAAAAAAAAGAAAAAAAAAAAGAAAAAAAGAAAAGAAAAAAAGAAAGAGAGAAAGAAAAAAAAAACTATGGAAAGCTGTATGGAGGTTCCTCAAAAAACTAAGAATGGATCTACTATATGATCCAGCAATCCCTCTACCTATTTACTCCAAAGACTTGAAAACTCATATCCAAAAAGATATCTGCACACCGATGCTCATAGCAGCATTATTCACAGTGGCCAGGACAGGGAAGCAACCGAAGTGTCCTACAATAGATAATTGGCTAAAGAAGCTGTGGTCCATATATACAATGGCAAATTACTCAGTCATAAGAAGAGATGAAATACTGCCATTTACAACAACATGGATGGACCTTGAAATAATCATACTAAGCAAAATAAGCCAGACAGAAAAGGTTGAAAATCACATGGTATCACATATGTGGGATATAAACCTAAAAGCAACAAATGAACAGGACAAACAAACAGAGACTCATGGACAATGGACTAGTGGTTACCAGAAGGAAGGGGGGAGGGAGGAGGGGGGAGGAGAAAAATTAAAAGATAAAACATTAAAAAAAATTATGTATATATAGTATGAAAAAAATAAACTGGCATTAAAAATAAAATTGGCTTGCTTACCCAAATGAGGTGTTAGCAGTTGAAGATAATGATTAAGTTTTCTTTTGCTCTTCTTTGCTCTTTTCCCTACCTCAGCCTAAGAAATATTTTAAGCAATTGTGCTTTCTCATTATTCAGTACATGCATGTAGTGCAATATTCCAAAGGTATGAAAGCATATACAGTGATCCTGACTCTCCTCTCCAGAGATAAATCACTGCTATACTTTTCATTACATGAAATTTGGAACTACAAGGGCTCTTCTGCACATTAAGTGGCCTAAAGAATAGGTGATAAAGGTGTTCTGGGAGAAGGTTCTGAGTGGCAAACTGGAACAAAATGTCATCTTCCAACCTGAACAATTAAATTCCTTCAGGGCACAAGTTGTTATTTGTAATCAAGAAAAAATTTGCCCAGTTGTCTAACATTATGAAGTTAGGTTCATATTCAGTACTTTATGTTTTCCTGAAACATCCTGAGATATGTTCTTGTTCATAAAATAACACCCAATTTGTTCAACTACTTGTTTATTTCAGAATAAACAAATGGCCTTTGTCTTTCACTCAGTAGTAGCATTTCTCAGTTTTTGATGTTAGTCAGAGAAAGGGTCAGAGCTCTTTTGGATTATCTGATAATATTTAATTGATGTGTTTAGAGAATGAAATAAATCTTGAGGTCAAGGTATACCTTGAGGTCAAGATATACAAGGTCAGGAGACCCTTTGCTTGCCACTGTCCAAGGCAGGAACTTTTTCTGAGGCAGGGACTCTAAATGGGAGGGGACTAAGAGGGTGCAGGGTGCTCAAGGAAAACTGACTTCCTAAGGGAGGATTTTAGAATTTTTGAGTGGGGGTCTTTAAAAAAAATTACATGTACCTCCCTCCCCATTATCAAGCGTCAGTAAACTATGGGCCAAATCTAGCCCATCATCTATTTTTGTAATTAAAACTTTACTGGAACATAGACATGCATATTTGATTTTGCTAGGTCTCTGGTTGCTTTCTAAATGGCGGAGTTGAGTGACAGACTGTATGGTACACAACGTAAAAAAATATTACTATCTGTCCTTTAATAGAAAAAGTTTGCTATCCCTGTCCTAGATGTTCCAGAGAATCATCACACAGTGAGCCACAATTACTAAATAACGTGTTCTTTTCCTCAACACTATAGGAGCAAGGTATGTTTGTCATTATTGTGGCTGTTGGTAACGAAGATTTGAAAAATAATGGCTTAAACAAGATACTTCTCTCTCACGTAGAAGTCCAGAGCTGAACCGACATTCAAGTGTCAGAGACCCAGGCTATACTCCGCATAGCTTCCATTACCAAGGTCCAGCATGGTTGCTAAAGTGCCAGCCAATACATTCATGTCCAGGTAGCAGGAAGGAAAAGAGACAGCCTCAACTCAACTTTTTAGGAAACTTCTGGAAATACCACTCAACACTTTTTATAAATCATTGTCTAAACTTGGCCACATAGATACACCTAGCTGTAGTGGAGGCTCAGAAGTGTAGACTTTAGTTGGCTGGCAAGCTGCTTAGATTAAAAAAAAAAAAAAAAAATCAAGGTTACATTATTTTTAAAACAGGGGGTTGGATACTGAGAGATAATTAGCAAGCTCTGTCAAAGGAACCTTATCCCAATAGCCAAGCCCCTTATTAAGATAGGTGCATGCTCTGTAATCATTTGGCATAGCTCCAAAATGATAGGCCTTAAATATTTGCTTAACATTAATTTAAGAAATGATAAGATCAGCGCTGGTGAGAAGTAATTTTTCGTTAGCTGTTTTCAAATTTCCAATCAAAAGTATTGTCTCCATCAGAAGGGAATTGGACAAATTCTCCTTTCACCAGTTAGTATGGGGTCATGTGTGTAGACCTGAGTTAGCAGAATACTCCCATATAGTCCAGTGTTTTTTTCTTAAAGGACTGTCCACCTGCCCATTCTGTCCCTGCGTTCATGGGACCCTGATACCTTCCCATTCCCACTGCAACCTCTCCAGTTAACATGCCCATTCCATCTACTGTCATCACTATAAATCACTTGCAAGTCAGAAAGAACTCAATATTTACCTCCTTCCCCAAACCACACCTGCCCCACGTCCAGGGCAAAAATATCTCACAGTAACATTTAGATTCTGATAATCTCCAACCAAGAAAGGCTACTCATCTCACTTTTAACACCAGTGATACAAGAAATAAAAGTGGATCTAAGGCAATATCGGAAAGCAAGAGCATGAGAAGTAAAAAATTAAGAATGGATTCTGAATCCTTAATTTGAGGAAATTATCTGCATATTAAATAAGAATGGAAAAAAATGATGTCATGTGCCTTTGGTATATCGGTTAATACTTAGCAATCAGTCTTATTCCCATACTTTCCCTTCTCTTTGAAAGTCATTAATTAGACTTTCAGTATTAACTTGTAAACTCTTGGAAATTTCTTTCTCACATACAAGTCCAGGGTGGAATGGAGACTCCATTGTGTCAAGGACCCAGGCCACCACACACGTTCTATTTTCTGTAAAGTTAGAAGACAGATATCATCTGTAAGCTCTAAAATATATTTAGAGCTGCCAAAAATAGTTGATAACAAGTAGAAGCCAAATGGGAGGAAATAAAAAGAAACACCTCAGAGGGGCATATTTCCAGACACGTATCCCAGCAAAACTACATTTCTCAAAGTTGAGGGTTACAATCTAAAGTGCAAAGTGTAGATCACCAATAAGTGTTGAAATTAGAGTTGGCAAAGGTAAATCTTCTCTTTGTAACAAGGGCAGACCTACACAAAGACTCAAAGAGATGAATGAGCCATATTTAAAGAAAGAGTTAGTTTCTTAGCAGTGCAGAAAAAAAAAGCCTTATTGAAAACCACTAGCCAAAATGACTACTATCCCCTCCCTGCCAGGTCAACCCTCAACCTCATCCCTCAACCTTGTGCAAATAGCCGATTCAGAAAATCCAATACATTCAAATACGAGTGACGGAAAGGCAAACATATGCATACCACTAACATCAATTAAAAATAGGAAAAAATAAGGAAAATGGAAGAAAACTGTATTAACAGGAAAGTCACAGAAAAATGCTGCCAATGGATCATATGAAGCTTCTAGTCAAATATTTTACAATGAATTTTAAAGACCAAATGAAGCAATTTCTGTATGAAGGAAAAAATCACGAAGCAGAAATAACTCAGAAAAGTTAGCAAGAAAACAGGAGTTGAAATGTGAGATTTCAAAACTCAGAAAAGGGGAGAAAACAAAGTAACTGCAGATGAAAAATTGATGTGTGTAAGGAAGAAGAGATTGCAGAAAACACGGTAAGGGACAGAGAAGACAACAGTGAGGAAAGCATTTAAAATGAAGTGGAAATAAAGAGTTTTAAAACACGAGAGTGAAAATAATACGTAGAGAAATCAGACAAAGGAGAGCCTCCTCCTGCATAACTAGGATTCCTGAAGAATAGAACCATGGATCAGAACAAATCCTTAAAGATATAATTCAAGAGAACGTTTATTTAAGAGCAGAGTCAAACCTGATTAATGAAAGGCAACTACACACACACACACACACACACACACACACACAAATACACACCAGAGAGAACAGGTCAACAGTAAAATGAATCCTGACAAAGTTATTAAATTTTATCCTAGGACCTAACATACATTTTGGCTTGTGGTATATGCTTAATAAATATTCACCGAGAGACTAACAAAACATTTTCTCCACAAAATCCTCTTTTTCCTTCATCCTCTGTTCCTGGGATATGATGTGGTATGAAATCACTTCCAAAAGCAACACTGAAAAACTCCAAGATCTTTAAAGCATTCTGTTTCATATACTTTCTTTACTAAGGCAGGAAAGATTAAAAAATACATTTTAGAAAGGTTTTCAGAAAGGACTGATGTAAAATGCTTTTCTTATAAGTTATACATTCACTATAAATTCAGAAGACGTTATGTCTCATATGTACTGCTTCGACAAAATTTCATTATATGTTTCCATTTGTCACATAGAGAGAAAAAAGATAAAATCAGAAAGCTTTTTTTTACTTACTTTGGGTGTTCAAATTTGTCTATAAGATCAACTTTTTCCACCAGGTCTCCTCCAATTGTTCGGACTAAATCATAGAAATCATTTTCTGTGTAATTCTCAGAAGGCAACCAGAATGAAATATCATTTATCACAGCAGGATATTTGCTAAGAGGCTAACAAAACGAGAAGAAAAGATAGATTGATTTGTTAGTTGGATGAGAATGTTTAAATTTTTCATGGAAAGTTACACATAGCTAATTAGAAAATTCTGGTAAAACATAATTTTAGCACTTGAATTTTCAGGAACAAGATGAACTTAACAGATAAGTCAATATTCCAAATTAGCAAATTCCATTAAGAATGTTTCAGATTCTTATCACATTCATGTGTAACATTACCATATATTATATTCATATCACCAATAATGTTCAATTTAGTACAAAGCAATATAAATTTATGATATTTCAGTCTTTTCCCTTTGAACACAAGAGGAGAAAAGTTCAAATTTAATTAACAGGCGATTCATTAACTTCTTGTGATATTTTCAGGAAGCCATTTTAATGGAGAAATAAGGGCTTATCAAAATTGATATTTCAATTAGTAATGTCATTATTTGTTAGCATTGCTAATTATAAAAATAACGAACTGAACTGAAAGTAGTCACTTAAGGAGGTATTTTTTAAATTATGCCTCTACGGATGTGATAAACACAATGTAGCCATTTCCTCCATTTTCTCCATTTTTTTCCAGTTTATTAGGGCTCACTATTTCATCATTATATTGGATAGGCATTTAAAATTAGATACTTTTTGAAGTTATTGCATTTGATTACATGGCTAACATATATGAGCATGCTTTAGGTGTAGAAGTTACCATCACAATAAAAAATGTTTTATTAAATGTTTCATTATATTACTATAAAGTCTCCTAAGTGAATATCTGCTAAAGTGATAAATTTGTTAGAAGGGCAAACTTATAAATCGATTTACTCCAAGACTGATATCATTACCCTTTGGTGAAGCACTGATTAGAAAAAATATAACACTTTTAAATGGCAAAATGTCTAAAAAACCAAATGCTCAAACATAAATGATTATTCAACTTGAAACAGCAATAAAGTTTTCAAACAAATTCATCAGTTTAGAACACACATTTCAAATGAACATAATAAAGCTCCACCCAGGTGTTCCTAACAAAATACCACAGCTCCTGAAAAACAGCCCTGTTTTCTCTCCTGAAGTCAAGACATTATGATAAATAATCCATGGGTTAATGTAGCAGCTCCAGATGACAGGAGTTTGGTGGTCACACATGTTGCTTTTCTTTTGACAACACCCTTTTCCACTTATGCAATATGGAAATTTAGAGAGATCAGATAAAATGCTGGGATATCCTGAAATCTTTTCAACTGACCCAAGCAAAGGGCCACACTTGTTGAGCTCTGATGTGAGACAAGATGACAGAAATGGGAGAAGGTGCTCAACTAAGCATCTGTGTCAGCAACCCATCAACAGTCAACATGATAATGTAGTAAGTGCTACATTACAGTGAATCGATTCAGCTGTTCTTCTCTAACCAGACCAGCTAATGGAGACACCAAGTAAGCAAGGCAGGAAGACTTGCCTCCATTCCTAGCTATACTGTGATGAGGAGATAGTGACCTTGTGGAATGACAAGGCTAGAGGTGGACAGGCGAAGTGACCTCATATAGGGACTTGATAATCCATAATCATAGAATTAGAAATTTTAAAATTGGAAGGAAACTTTCAGCCAGAATAAAGAGATAAACTGAGGCGAGCTCAAATTACCAGAAATTGAGTTTATTCGGGTATAGCAGAAGACCTGCAGTTCGTGAAACACATGTTGTAGCAAACTACTGGCAAGTCTACTGATGGTTTGGGGTGGGCTGTATTTATAGGCAAGAAGTACAAAGAGGGGAATCCAGCCAGAGTTCAAGAAGTAAGTTCACTGGCTTGAGGATGGGGAGAGATTCTTCATGGATGTTCACTGGTAGAAGATAAGTCTTGGTCTTCTGTGAATCAGGCATTTACTGGAAATTAGTCACTTGGTTCTTAAGTTCTGAGGGGTGCACATGCGAATCTGTTCCATATCCTCTGTTTCCGTTTTAGATTGAAATCCTTCCATGGACTTTAAATAGCATCTAATATTATTTGTGTTTTCTCATTTCTTTTCTTGATCTAGATAGAGGCATGTCATTTTATTGTGTATGTTGCGTGCCATTGAGTCAGCTCTGACTCCTGGTGACTATGAATGAGTGATGCCCTGATGCCCACAAGGTCCTATCCTCAACAGCCCTGCTCAGCTCCTGGAGATTCATGCCTATGGCTTCTTTTACGGAGTCAATCCATCTCATATTTTGTCTTCCTCTCTTACTGCTACTTTCTATTTCTCCCAACATTATTGCAGTTTTATCAAATAACCACCTATTACTGATTAGTTCTTTTGAGATCCTCTCTATAATTCTTGTTTGTTTTTAAAGAATTAGAAAGGGGATCGAAACTACAGATATAGTAGAGACTTTCAAAGTCATAAGTAAATATTACAAAGTATTAAATAACAAATTTGAAAACTTGTAATAAAAGAATAATTTTAACTCAAAACAGAAAATTTAAACCAATGAGTCTGTATCAAATTGAATTATAAGTAAAATCTCACAACAAAATTGTTAGACTCAGATGATTCATGGTATCACCTTATCAAATACTTAAGGTGAAGGTTTCATTAAAACAGAAAAAGAAAGTAACTCAACTAATTTTCTGAAGCTCCTATCAACTTTAGTCTGAAACTGGACAAGCATAGTAAAATTCATAAAAAATTGTAGACCAATTTCGCCTTATATACTACATGAAAAGTCCTAAATATAACTTCAGCAAACACAATTCAATAACGTAGTAACATAATAATACAAAATAGTCAAGTAAAGTTTTCTGGAATAATGGGAATGATTTAAAACCAAAAATAATCTACTAATTGACACACAGTATAAAGAAAAAAATCATGTGATTTGTTTTTCACAGACAGGAAGCATTTGATAAATGTAACACTCATTCATGATAAGAAAAAGGTTTTTTTGGCAAATTGTAAATAGAAGGCAACATCCTTAGCCTAACAAGGTACTTAAAACCTACAGCAAACATATTTAATGTTAAAAAATTTTAAGGAGCATTCCAAATAAAGTCAAGAATAAGATAAGCATAGCCACTATCATCCTTGCTTTCTCACATTATAAATTCTAATTAAGGCAACAAACAGGAAAAACTATGAATAAAAAATGGGAATGAAATAGGCAAAATTGGTGATCTAAATTTGAACCTTTCTTACTACCTATATGACTTGGACAAATGGCTTAATCTCTGTTTTCAGTTTTACTTGAAAATGGAGATATTATTAGTATCTATCTCACACAATAATTATTTTGTATATACTGTCATACATACAATATATGAGTTAAAGTAAATGAAATAGAGATACTATGACTAAAATTCAAAAACATGTTAAGTTTAAAAAGTAAGTTTTATTAAGATGTGTGTAGTATAATATATATATGAAGTTAAAAAATAGGATAATAAAGTATACATGTAAACTGTATTAAAACAGATGTAGGAAAGGAGGGAAAACTATTCAAGAAAGGTATAAAAGGGATTTCAACTTTAAGACACAAGAGTTCAGGTTCAACCTTGATTTGTGCAGCAAATCCACTGAGTGACTTCTGCATGCCAGAGGTGTTGGTTGGGTTGGGGCAGAAGTGGGTGTTATACTCCAGTAAGTAAGATTAGCCCAACTTATACTTTATTCTCTTAATGCAGATTGATAGTTAACATCCTTGTAACTCTCCTCTTATTAGAGGGTAGCAAATTATGCTACCCCAAAATATACTACTTTGTGATAAGGATTATTCTGAGCTGAAGGAAACTGAGTAGCTGATACCAAAAAAGCTCCCAGCCCTCTCCTAATTTGCCTAAGAGGAGGGCATAAATTTGCAAAGGTGTCCCATCTCTCCAATCTACTAGGAGGGATGAAAATTAATCACTGGAGACAACTGTAGACTTTTATCAGCCCAGAGATGGCTTTAGAGGAACCTACATAACAAACTTTACTAACTAGTTCTTACCTTTGATTGGTTTCCTATATATTTACCTTTCCACAATTTGCACCCCTACAGACTCAAGCTACTTTTCCTTTGTCATATCACTTCTCTAAAGACTTATTGTTCTTTTCCTAAACTGCGATATAAGCTCAAGTACTAACCAAATCTTTGACTTATTCATGTCTAAGTACTCCTATGTGTTACATTAGTGCACATGTTAGTAAACTTGTTTTTCTTTTAGCCTGTCATTTGTTACAGAGCCCCAGCAGAGACCTAGAAGGGTACAAGGAAAAATATTTTCCCCCTCTCCTACACTTATTGCATTGTGACTACCTTTAATGGTCTTGGAATAATATCTTTATTTTATAAGGTTGGGCTAATCCTAGGGATCTATAAACATTTTTTACAGTTTGCCCTTTCTAACACCTTCTATCTCTGCCAATTATTAACACTTCCAACCTGAAAATTGCTTTCTTCTGTGTTGGGAGTTGAGGGGGTGGGGCAATCATGGAGTTATGTGCTTCCCTGACCTCAGGCCTACCCCAAGACTCCAACTGTATTAAGTGCCTCTCTTAGGTTCCTTTCTCTGCCACTATATCCTCTAGGACCAGCACTAACGTCTGGTTCACCTACGTAGCCCAGCAGTGGCACAGTGCCTGCCTAATAAATACCTCTTAAAATCTTATTGAACTGACCACACTATGGGGGGTCTGTGTCCACATTTCCCAAATTTCCCAGGGTAGTTTAGATTTTTAGAGATAATAATTATGGTTCCAGAAAGGACAATTCTCCATGTCATCTGAGTCACATGAATTTGATTTTTCAAAGATATTGTTATTCTTCCCTTTTTCTTTTATCTGAAATAGGTTTGCTTACTAAGTTTTACTCCCATGTCCCTTTTTCTCTCTCCACTGTCTCCCTCTCCTTGCCTTTAAAAGGCTCACAAATCCCTTCAGACCTGAGTCTTCAGACTTGCAGGTAAGAAAGTTGGCAGCTGAAGTGCTACAGTCCAGTTACTTAACAGTTTCTTATTTAACTGGTTTTATTCTGTTCTTTCCCCAGCTT